TAATAAAAAATAATGAGCCCTTATCGCTAAGGTCACGCACATTGTTTATAAGAACGCGGCGCAAATAGGAATGCATAGTTCTCGATTGGAAATGTTTGTTGAGTAAAAAATATACAACTATTTTGTCCTTAATCACAGCCACCAAAGCCACTGGATGATGTCTTACATTACTAAAAGTAAACTCTAAACTTTGTACCAAATATATGTCCGTAAGAATACAATAAAAGTTATATAATAACTTTTTGAAAACCGCTTTTGAACGATTGAATACTTTCATCGGCAGAGTTTTTATCTCCATAGCAAGGCGCATTAAAATTCTGCGGTGTAAAGTTAGGTGGGTGGTTGTGTAACCCTTTGACGCGAATGAAGCGGCCTTCCAGCGTCGTCTGGACTCGACACAGACAGCCTCTGACGTCTTTGTCTCGACAGGCCCAGTTCAACTTGCCACGATACTGATTGTTCACCCAGAACTTATTGTTTTGAAATATGAGCACCGATTTTCCCGCTCTGGATGGCAAAAAAAATGCCTCTGAAAATACAAACACACATTTTAATATGAAACGTAACAAAACACGATGATTTCATTATTACTGGACTTTCAAAAAAACATTAACAGCCTGAACCCAGAGAGTAATGTTAACGGACATAAGAAAATATAGTTATCCAAATAGAAATTACATTCTAAGAAACATCGCAATTGTAATTTTTCTCACGTTTCGTTTATTTTCTTTAAAAATCAAAATTAAAGTTAGCTAAAGCTCAATGAATGAACTGCGTAAAACACTAATTTAGTAACATTAATAACTGTTAAAACTATCTAATACAGTCATTCATATTGTTTCATCTTCAAGATACGGATTATGGTGTTATCACAGTTGCACCATTTTCCGCGAAGTTTTCTGATAGTAGCGTGGTTTGTCGTGATTGTGTTCTCCCTGATAGCGAATAACTTCTCCGCGTCTGTTGGTTCGGGCCGTGGCTCGGCATCTCATACTCTTGCTACGAGAACAATTCCAGTACGTCGGCGGACCCTCCTGGTACGAATACCCGAATAATACCAGATTCATTTTACCCCTCCCGGTAGGAATGTACGCTGCTGTTATCCCTAAGGCCACAGAGCAAAACTTTTAAAATATAACTGATAGATAGATATACATACATAGAAAAACCAACGTTTTATACACGGAAGCAGGAAAAGGAATATAAAACCACAAATTATTATTAACATAATGTTTAATTAAATCTTAAGGAGTAATACTCTTCATAAAGTAACGACTTGTCTAAACCAATGTAAAGGTATCGAAAATTTCAAAAATTACATAATATATGCTTAATTAAGATAACATAAGGAATGTTCAGTATATCATTGTTATAATTGACATGGTCCCTTAGTTTACAGGGCATTTACATTACTTATATCACAAATATATCATTACATTAGCAAAATATCAACATGATTAAACGTGGCCATAACGACAGTATGAGTTTCCGTTAATATCTTAATAAGTACTTTATTATAAAGATAACAAATTTCATTTGAATATTATTTATAAAAAGCGATTAATTTTCTCGTTATTATCACATGTAATTGCTATTAAAAAACGCTCTTCCGCATTACATATTTAAAAAAAGAACTATCAGATAGAACAAACTTACTCAACCGTAACTTTGGATTATATCTATTAAAGCCAATTCAGATGGAATAACGTGAATCCCTTATCGAGCTAAAACCACACAATAAGTCTTTTGAATCCAAAAGCACCACGAGCGACAAGAAATTTCGCTTTATAAAAAATAGTAATCTAAATAAATGCTTCAAGTATCTTTTACAGGTGCTTTTGTAGCCTATAAATACATTGTCTGTTCCTTAACTTAGCATACTAATCTTAGAGACGCTAAAAATGTTAATTTCTATGTAATATTAAATGGACTAATACTAAGTTTCAGAAATATCATCGGTGTTTTGAAGAAATGACGAAAACGTTATTTCGACAAAAATATCAATAATATCAATTAAATACATTCCTTAAGTTTTTCAAGACTGTTTTAAAATATTCAAGTGCTGTTTTCAATTCATTTTTAAAACTTTAACTTAATTAAAACTAAAATTGAATTATAAAATAGGCCGTATATATTTTAAATCAGTCAAAACTTAAAACATACTCTACTGAATTTTTTTCTACAAAACACCGACGTATGTGATATTAGTAGGTATTGACGACAATTACTCAATGTGTGAAGATTCCATAGTCAAGACCTCAAGTCCTGTGGCAGTGATCGCGGTGGGTAAATTAGGAAGGGCGGTTTCAACGTTCTTACGTGAATTTGTGCGTCGCGACTGTGAGAGGCCAAGTGCACGCGGTGGGTGGTTGTGCATACCTTTTACCGCCACTACATTCGTCCCCAGCATGTGGATGCGAGCCTTGCAGTTAGTCTTCTTTGACGTACAGCGCCAGATCACCTTGTCCCTCAACTTTGATTCTTCACAGAACGGAAATGTGTTCACCATCATGATAATCTTCCCACGTCGCGACTTGAGGAACTTGATGCCTGCGAGAAAAAGAACACTGTCAAACAACTGCCGATAACGCAAATAATTTAATACGTGCCTTACCAAACACCATCACCGTTATTTAAAAAATAATTACATAATAAAACACGCAAAAATTACACTTTATATTAGTATAGTTAGAAATTAAACCATCGGTTATTTATAAGTACAATTTAATATGATTTCACAAAACGTACCCCGCACAAGAACCAAAAATCTTACACTTATTAATGGTAAATATAAAATTACGTTATTAATATAAGACTTGAATGGTTAACAGTAAATGAGGTAGATAGTAAGTATTTGTCTCTATCGTGTGTGCGCGGGAGCCGTGGCGACAGTAGAAACAACATATACACTATACCATGTAGTAACTATCTACGAGATTCGTTATAATTAACGTGAGCAAGTACATAGAAAAACATCAATCTCCACTTCCAACAGACACAATCACAATTCGATTCAATGAAATACAAACATTGCTAAAAGGTGTAGAGACGGCACAAGCACAAGAACAAGCGATGTAAATATGGCAAAGATAAAACATTAAAAATCAATATTTACAAGATAATTCCACGTAAATTTACAATATAGTAAATGTTTAAAATGTTATTTTATTAGTGTACCTATTTCAAGTAAGAAATCGTATCTTAATTAATTGACGTATATTGTCATTTGCTCTACATTTAAATACAATAACATTTATAATGATACAAATTTCGAAATTGCAATTAAAATGGATCGCCACGGCTTCGACACCATCGAATATTTGACTGCAACGTACCTAAATTAGGTAAAATATAGAGCATGTCAAATGGCCAAAAGGTAACCAGTTTTTGAGTGTATATCCAACTATTACGTTATTACAAAACACGCAATTGGCATCAAATGAAACGTTGCGAGCGATTCTACTGGTCATTACACTAAATACATCTTACTCAAGGATAGTGCTACCGCGTTCCATTTGAAACCACTTCCATTTAGATTTCCTTAGACACTACACGATTTGACACGATCTATCGTTACACCTAGATAACACTTTCCATTATTATGATTTCCACGCACATTCTTAGACCAGATAATAACTAAGTCATCTAAATAACAATTAAAATTAGTAAAAAATTTGTACTTAAAATCATAGTCGCAGACAAGAGACGGTCGCTATCTCTATGAATAAATAATTCATTCGACGAGCAACAAAATCTTTAAAAACAATCTACAATAAAATATATCCAGACAACAGTCTCACATAGAGCCTAGTTTTATTAGTCGTCAACAGTGAACGATCGAGTAGAAGTTAAAACTAAGTGAAGAGGTAGTTGAGTTTCATTATAGAGGTAATCTTAAGTAGCGCGCCGGACCCTGCGCGGAGGTCCGCCCCGGCGCGCGCGCCTATTCTACCCTAACCTACTTACCCTACACACCTTACTCGAGTAAAGCTTGTGAGTATTCATTCGTGTATATAAAATTGTATAATTAAACTAATCTGTAAAACCCGTATAAAAAGTGAAGAGGTAGTTGATTGAGCTTAAGTACTTAAAAATCAATCCTACAGAGTACAACAACCGTTAGTAGCCTGCGAGTTTCGAGTTAATGCCGATTAGCAAAACTCTAACATTCCCATCGAGAAGGTACTTCGATATTTTCAAACTACAGTATACCTTAAAGATAAGGAGGCGGACGTCTAATTGTCTAAGTAGCAACACCTGAAACTTGTAAAGTTTTACTCTCAAAATAAATTAAGTATTTCTAAGTACAGTCCTGGGATATCGTATTGCTTTGATCCATAGAGTTCCCGTGTTCAGTCACCGACGCGTAGTCGACGGTCTGGACCGCCGAACCTTTTCTGTGCGCTTCCTTAAGACTGCTTTCCTACTTGTAACGATCCTACGGCCTTCCTGACCAGCTGGCAAGCTATTGTCTATGTCCGCCTAGCGCTACATGTTCCTGGATGATGTCTTCTCGGATCGATTAAACCTACTAAACCAAACGTTAAAATCAACCGTGTTTCGGAAAATAACCACCTGTCTAAACCTGACATCCATACGAGTTGATACCATTATACACACTCAGAAAGTTCTTACACATTTAACATCCTTATGATCCATAACTCGATAAATAACCCACACCTAGATTGGATAACTTTATAGATCTTGGAAAGATCGCCTAACCTACGTATGTCACGACTTATTCGTTCCATGTAACTGGTTCTTCTGTTCCCTCCACTGGTCGCCGTAACGTTAAAGACACCACAACATCTAACCCAGATATAAACGACGTTCTTACCAAATTAAACCCAACGTAGCCATCGCTGAATCCTAAGTTCGATCTTATCCCCATTATAACTTACATTAAAATATTCTAATAATAATTTATGCTACATTTCGTAAGCCAAAAAGGCTTTAAGAAAAATATCGGCCGCTCGATATACTTCATCGTCAACAATTAACTAGCGAATATGTATGTTTTTGACAAGAGTACGCCCTATTCGCGACGACTCGGTCTCAAAGAACCGCGATCGTCATCGGAGGCGGAGCACACCGATCTTAATCTTCCTCGTTACAAGGCGTATCGACGAGAAGCGGCTTGGCGGAGGGCGCGTGCTGCGCGGCTGGCGGCACGGTGTTCGGCGAGGCCTGTGTGCCGGTGCCAACACTGGCGGAAACGGCGGCCGATGCGCTAGCCGTGGCCGTTGCGTGTGCCGTGGCAGCATACAGTGCCAAAGCGTGCTGCAACTGCAACAGCTGGTGGTGTGGATCCAGGGGCGCGGGTGCGCGATGGCCGCTCTGGTGCGGTGTGCGCACGACGTAACGCCCGTCGGCGAAGCGGCGCACATTTGGTGGGGCGTGATTATGCGAGTAGCGAGAACGCACGATGCGCTCGTGTCCCTCAGGGCCTTCCGTGTTTACGTCAGCGAGACAGCGCGAAGTTAGCCGAGAGGAGCAGTACCATTGTTTACGTCCATGTGCCAAGTTGTTCTTCAAACGGAAAGTGTAGCCGCGGTGCAGCAGCAGTCGACCTTTGCCGGCGCGGATGAAGCGAGCTAAACGACAAAACAGAAAATCAGAATATGTACCACATGGTCCATTTAAACTGGATTCCACGTAAAACCGGCCTGATACAGTTGCATTGACGTAAGAGGCGGGCTTTAAGCAATAAACTTATACACTACACTTACACTCTACATATTACTATTGCAATCGGATCAAAAGTGAAATGAGGATGTTTATATCATTTTACGTTTGATTCAAATTTATATAGCATAAATGTAACATAGGGATTAGGGATACAAAATAAAACACGATAATATGTTTTTGTAGAAAATGCATTTCTCTATCTAAATAAAACTCACTACTTTTCAATAATTTATTTACCACTTCACAACATTCAATCCAATGCTCTATCTTCAAACTTCAATATTTAACTAAATAGGTACATACGATACAATCTAAACTACAACAGGAAGAATTTCATATAATGTATTATTTCTCTAAGAGAGAACTTGAGCAAGAGTTTTGGCACAAACTTAATTTTTGGCAACACGATTCAATCTTATACGTATGAGAAGAAAATCATTAATATTAATAATTAATTAACAAAATAAAGATTTTTGGGCAAAAATACCCCATCGTCGTAGTGAATGAACATAGAAGCAAAAAAATCAGTGTACTAAAGCGTACACACATAGAATCAAAATACACGAATAGGGAAGACTAGCTGAAGAAGGACCGATTTACTGATCATAATTACTAACCTATGTTTATACTAAGAATGATTTTGTAAATTTAAAAACTAGTGAAATGAAACAATTTATGGCCTAACCTAATGAGATCGCAGCTTCACAAACTATAAACTAAGCTATCACAATTTAATACTGTTGAAATTTTTTCTGATATTCGTAATATTAATACTAATTTGGGATTCGATTTTGACAACATTCATTTGATAGTAAAAATATCATTATTTAAATTTGTTTATCAAACGAAAAATCACAACTGTACCGAGATGTATTCCATAACCCAAGTTTTTTTTTAACTTCGGGAATGGTCAATGTCCCGGAAATACAGCGAAGTACGAGCAAGAAATCTAACAATCGTTAGTACCGGACTACCCATGCGCTAGGGTCGAAGTTATCTAAATCGAAACGAGGTAATCGTGGTAAAAGCAATGGAGTCGGTGGTGAGATGGCCCCGACGGCAGTTGCGATGGGTACCGCCGTGGTTGTCTTAGCCAGCGATCGGCGGCCATTGCGGCCCTGGTGGTTGTGCTCGCCGACCAGTTTGTGCAGAGTACCTTTCTGGGTGTAAGCCTTGCATCCACAGCCGCCCATGGTGCAGCGCCAACGCACGATACCTGAGCGCATAGTGTGCGCCGCGTAAAAGCTGCGTCCACGCACCCACAGTCTCGGCCGACCGCCCGGCCCCACGCACAGCCGCACCATTTTCTCTACCGAAACAACCGTGCCACATACATCAAACGTCCACATACAAATAACACATTTAGACATTCTTAATGTGGCTATTAGAGACATGCAACATGTTACCTTGTTAATTTACACCTGTGAAAAGGTTAGTCAAACCATAATTCGGAAAAAATAATGAATGTATATAATATTGTTGAACCAGTCACCACGATGAGGACAACACAAACACAGTCAAGCAGCCCATCATGCTCCTTAGTTAATTAATTTGAAACTATGTTATTTTTATTTATCTGAATTACCTACTGAGGTATTACGAGGAATGAGAATTATTTAGATGATACAATATTCATTTCAATGAACACTTAACTGAGACTATGACTAGATATTTATATTTTAGACTAGACACATTAGTTACAATAACGTTACTAAGCTCTCTCGCATATCAAAAGTAATAGAAAGTTGTAATATCAAACGGTTGCTAAAGAGTACGTTCATGCTAGAACTAGTCCACTTTTATTCACTTTATGTGCTTACTTAAGAAATTGTATACAACAATTTTATTTCTTAGTGTGCTTTTTGTTAAATTGAGGGCGAAAACTTCAGAAGTAGTTATAGTGATGAAAATAAAATAGATATAAGAGTTATGAAAGTAAATACTTGTCAAACAATGTAAATAATAAGGTTTAATTTAAGAGTTCCACACGGCAAGCCCGGCTGGTAGTTTCCCTCCAAATTATACAATGCGGTTCAACAAGTTCGAAATTAGGAAGAATGTGGCACTTATTTAACGTAGTTTTAAAATATTTCGGTTTAAAATACGCGATAAAAAATACACCGACCATGTTTAAAAGGTATGCACACAGGACGAAATTAGGCAGAAAGCACAGACAACCCAAAATACAACATTTACGGAAGTTAATATGTAAACATGTTCAGAGTCAAATTTCGCAGTGATAGTGGTAAATCATTTGTTTTTTATTTATATATTTAATTCAGAAAAAATAATTAAGTTACGCCGCGCTTGTCGTGTGGAGCTTATCAGTGTGCTTACAATTCAGCAAACAGAATCGAATACATGTTAAAATTATCTATATGATTAATATTAAAGTCTTAAAGTGTCGCAATTAATCTTTGATGATATTATTATAATCAATGTTCGAAATAATGTCAAAGACGCGAAGATTTTTATTGTTCTAAGTCGTAATACCGTTGAGACTCAAAAACTTAAAATTTATGCCCATTAGTATCCCGGTTACATGGAGGCAAAAGAGGCAAACAACGTGTTACTCATGCCCACAAATAATCACAAATCCATATCAGTGTTAATTTCGCGTCGTTAATCTCGAGACATGTGTTATTTATACTATCTAGCGAACACCAAAACCACCATTTGTGCAAACTCTACAAATTAATAATATTACTGATAAATGAATGACTAGAAATGTGTTAGTGACTTCAAACCAATCTCTGCAACCAATATTCTCAAGAGACAAATTTTTATTTGCACTTCTTGAAGCAATTCTTACAAAAAAAAAGTAAAAAGTCTAAAATTTGTGACAAAAACGTTATATACACGCGACAATAATAACGGTTGCAGTAATTAGTTTTATTATTAAATATTTCCTATTATCTATATGAAAGCTTATTCGTCTAACAAAGCTTTCGCCTGTGCGACGAGAGCTGCATGTGCAGCTCGATGGGCAGCGGCAGTGGCAGCCGCGGCTGGGGAGCTGGCGACAGCGGTGGCGGGCGCGGCCGGCGGCTCGTGCGAATGCACGTTGCTCAATGCGAAAATTCGATCATGCAAAGTGTGCGCATACGCACGACACGTGCGCCGCGTACACCGCCAACGCACCTTGCTCTTCTCCGGAAACACTTTTTCAGCATAAAACGAAAAACCTCCGAGCCGCATGTGCCGCCGACCGCGATTAGATATCACGAACTCCACTGTAAAACACCATATCGTCACTATCTATAAAAACGTAAACATACCCAACAAATAATGAATCCGATTAAGCAAACAAGCGTATACAAAACCTGTGATTAGTTGCATATAAATAACCGTGCACATAGAAAAAATAAAACAAGTTAAGTTTGATTCATAACAAAATTTTATTGTTGTCTCATCAATTCGAATCAACGACCACGTGAAAGTAATGGTCGCGTGCGTCGTCGAAGAACTCATGAGGCGTGTCTACTAGTAGAAATGGTCTCAATGAGACTCTCTATGCGTGCGTGCTCGTGTAGCGCCGGTGCGTGCGGTGCGTGGTTGTGGGCGAGCACGCGCGCCAGCAGTTGGCCGGCGCTGGTGAGTGCGCGCGCCGGGCAGCCCTGAGCACGGTTGCGGCACGACCAGTATACGCGCGAGCCGCGTCGCTTACGCGCTACGTACCCGAACCCGTCAAGCAGCAGCGAGGGTGCGCCGCGCCGCGTCACTGTGTACCGCACCGCCACATCAGCACCTGCTGCATCACAATAAACCTGCACCACGCGGCTACCCAAGCTACACGCTACCACAATTAAATAAAACACGACAATTGATGTAACTCTTTATTAAAGCCTTACTTCAACTATTTTAAAACTAGTAGTTGATCACAAATACTTTTCGAACTACTCACCTACCTAAATTTATTATTACGAATGAATGAATGAAATCATAAAAGCAAAAAAAGGGAATAAAGTACTTGATACAAAACAACTTTAAATAATAGCTAAACTAGAATACTAGATACTATGTACAATCTCACGTATCACTCCTCAACGTAAAATTCATTGGCATAAAAAATTGTAGCAATGATTATTAAATTCCTAAAATTAAAAATCACACACAAGGACAAAAGTACCGAAATATATCATTGTATTTAAACAGTGGGGCAAGTCACCACTTCTCCCTCCTCATACTTCTGAGTGATTTTAGCCATATGATTGGAGACGTGATTATGAATTGGGTTAGTGACCCGAAGTACATTATTTTTCGAGGTAATCCTAGCCCTACATCGTTTGCCATACTCCATGCACCTCCAGAATGTTCGTCCACTACGTACACTGTCCGTCACGAATATGTATGGTTCATAGATCAATTGTAAATGGCCACTTTTTGTCTGAATAAAATGTAATTCACCTTTCACGTTGCTGTTGACCGTTCCTAAAACTGGACAAAATATTTCAGTATTAAAACAAAACAACAAAAAGTTACTCCTTACTATGAAGTAAACCGAAAAAACTACATCATCAGGTACTTGGTGAAAATAAGTACAAATGCTAGAATATTCCATCTTTATTCAAAATATACTTATTAAAAAAAAATATTAAGAAAGAAAAGCTTCTAGAAAGCTTTGAAATCCATAAAAATATTAACTTTTACATGAAAAGTATTAGTTTCACAGTTATAAACTCATTTGCTTATTTTTTTCAATTTGACTGCTACTTTTTTGCACTATTGAATGCATTGAATTTAATGCATTACACTTGTCTACTTTGAGGTAAATTATCAGAGGTAAATGTGTATACAGGTACAATATATGTAATTTGATTTTCCTAAATCATTTGTACTGTAGTTTTATCTATATGTTAGTGAAAAGAAAATGAAAATAACAAAAAAATGAATAATAAGACTAATC